CCACCCTACAGACAGAACATATAAATATGCGTTTTCAATAGTGACAGGCTTAGAACTACTGTATATATAGATGCCTTTTAGTAAGCAATGGGTATTCTTATTTAATTCCCTGGTTCCAGCTTCAGGGTTAAAAGTATATGTAAATAAATCTTATTTTGTTTTTGATACAGTAGGGTAGGGTTAGAATCTCAGTTTATATTGCTGTCTGTCCTCCCACCACTCTATTTGTCCTGGTGACCACTGTCACAAAGATAAAAACTAAGGGGAAATCTCACTCAGAGTTGTCATCAGAACAAGAGGTGAGGGAAAATCCTCTGATGGGAACACCTGTTCCGGTAAAAACTTTCTAAAGGTGCCCATACACTGCACGATTCTCGTACGAGAATCGCGGGAAATCCCGCGATCGTACGATAATCGTGCAGTGTTTGGAAGGCGTGCGACCGTTTCTAATGTACGGTCACATGACTTTTGTATTTCGGGCATGTTGGAAAACCAGCCGAGAATTGTACGATTTTCAGCTGGTTTATAACATGATCGAGAGATAACAGCCGAACAGGCCGGTGTGCGCACGCGCACACTGCCCGTTCAGCATAGCAGTCATCGGAAGCCTGTCCAAGATGGGCAGATCGTATGTTTTTTAAATTACTTTACAACCCTCGCAAGACAAAAGTCGGTTGTAAAGTGTATGGGCACCTTAAGATAGGAATTCTGTTTCTTTGTTGCAACAATTTCTTGTTGCATCTCCAAGACAGGCAATTAAGGGAAATTTTCACAGCAGGACACAGGCAGGGACAAAATAATCTGACATGGGTTTAACCCTTCCCTATTGCATTCAAAACAGAAAACAAGCTTTGGCTTAATATACAGTTTAATAGCACATTTAAACAGATGCTATTTTTCAGTAATTCCATAAGTTTAGATAAAAACGAACCTTACTGTACCCACTGCAGTGTTGTAAGCTAAACAATTATTAAGGATATAACTCTTCCAATTGCTGCCATCACCAGTCTCGGGTGTTTGCCATATTCCCATACAACAGGGACGTCCCCAGCCGTGGTGTCACCCAGAGACGCCGCCGGATGACACCCCGCTGGGACGTCATAACGCACATGCGTAATTACATCATGCGCGCTTACCTGCCGGTGGCCTTTGTGATGGATGCTGGCAAAGAGATGAGGGGACATTCACCCGGCAGGATAAGGTATGCCGCCGCATCCCCTCCTCTCTTGTGCAATTGTCAGGCTCTCTGTCCATGACAGAGTGCCCAACTTTTCAGAGGGGGTAACACCATTGTCAGTTATTTTGGTGTCACCCCCTCTGATGGTGTCACCTGCACCCCCCACCACCTCTCTTGTGACACCACTGTCGTACAATGCAGAACCAACAGCTTTGCTGCATGCAGGATGCAGGGGGCCCGTCCACATTTTGGAGCGCTGGACAGCAGAAGAGAGCGCTGGCTGCCAGAGCATGGAGGAATAAGGTAAGTATATCACCATCATCCCCTAGGCAAAATGAGCAGTGGGGAGGGGGGGCACACTGCAAGGGTAAAAGTTTTTCATCCCTAGAGTTCAGCTTTAAAGCTTAAAATCAAAACTAGGAAGTTTTCACTTTGTTGTGCAGTCTGAAAAATGAACTGCATTTATATATTTTGCTTCTCGTCATTTTGTGTCATTGTTATCAGTCATTAATAAGTTCATAATAAGAAGGGTAGTATAACTTGCACAGTAAGCTGCCTGTACATGAGTTACCAGTTAGATGATCAAGTAAAACATATTCCTTTTAAAATAAATAAAAAAATCTTTATAAATTATTTTATAGTTGAATTTTTCATACTTTTCTTTTTTTTTTTGCAATCTGTTACAGGGACTTCTGCCACTGAAATAGGGAGATGTTGAGATGTTTCTTAAGGAAATGAAACAAAGTCTCAGATATTTATTTTTAATATACCTACTTTCAGAATGCAACAAACGTTATTAAATAGTATGATGATTGAACATCAGCAATTTCCAGGATTTAACAAACATACAAAAACTGAAAATGAGGATTAGGAATCCATGCTGTATCATTTCCAGAGCCCTCACTTGTTGCTGTTTCCAGAACAGCAGCAACTGTTACATTTCTCAACAACCCACATGAACAAATCATGCAAGCAAACACATGAAACAAGCTTCAAAAGAACAGCAAGACAAGCCACAATTCACTCCCTATGTTGCAATAACTTCTCTGCAGTTTCCAAACTTGCAGGAAGTTTTTTTTTAACACCCAAACCACACCCATGAGAATGGGACAAAACAAAGATGTCAGATGAACGCTGGTCATAAAAACACTTCACACAGACAAGACGAACTGGAGAGAGAAAGGAAGAAATGACCCTCTCCTCTCAAGTTACCACATCAAGCTGATGGCAGATTAATTTTAAAGAGAAAATGGTTCATTTAAAGTGATGATGGAAAGACAATGGACAGGAAGCCCTGAACAAAGGACCAGCTACAGAAAGAATATTTAAGAGAACAATTTACTATCTTATTACAGCATATTTAAAGACTTTGCTGCAAAAGCAGAATGTTTTTGCAGAATATGGTTCATAAGGGATATATGGAAAGCGGGATACCTTAAAGTTGTTTATACTGACTGCAAAAAATAATATGGTAGTCACAAAGCATCTTATTGTAACATTCATGTTCATGCAAAGTTTGCGCGTTATTCAACAAATATTTTTAAAAACATGAGCCACCTTTTTAGTTGACACAAAGTAGTGTGTGTACACCATCTCCATATGCCTTTTTTTTTTCAGTAGACAGCATGAAACTGAAGGCATACTTGCAAAACATGAGGGTAAACACTTCATATAATTCAAGAAAAAGCCAACACTTTGAAATAATTGCCTGATATCTCAAGGATTAGAAATAGGCTGCATTACAAAACTGAAGCCATAAAGCTCTCATGGATTTATTTATAACTTCACTCTGAAGGATATTTGTATCTGTAAAAGTTCTGAAAATGTGTCTGTATACTATATCAATAAAATCACTGTCTAAAAACAGTGTATTTTTAAATTACATGGATGATCACTACAGTCCATATGGATTACTGTATTGAAATAATCCTATTTAGTAATGCCCAACATTATATGTGACCCTTTGGCTGTAAGCATCTTTAAAACTGCTGTTCAATTTTCTAAATGGTTTAAAACAAGCTTTTGACGCAAGAAGCTTATTTTAAGTTTTTAGCCACTAAAACAACTGCCGGTTGTTCTGTACTAGGATTATTTGTGGATTTTAAGATGTGTTAACTAGTGCCAAGCAGTCATCAGTAATAGAGTGTAGTAATGTATTTCGTGACAACTTTATGCCTGAACCTTACAGATAATTATTGAAACGGAAATCTATCAACAATTAATTTGGTAATATTATCCTGGGCACTAAAATATTCAGTTAAACACATTATCTAATTAGACAAAAAACTCTTTTCCTGGTGACATTACTTTTAATACGTGTTTGCCTGCAAAATAAGGCAGCTTGTATATTATATTTTAAAAATTCTGTGCTTAATAATAAAATTGATTTTGCACTAAATGTAATATCTGTTCCTGTCTAGGTGATTTGAGTTCATCACTACCCCACCACAGATGCATACTTCGGCCCCACCTTCTAATATTATTTGCAGTTAAAAAAATATTACTACTGTTGCATTTGCTGATTTCATGAGGTGTTTTTGCTAAAATGGTATGTATGGGTCATGGGGTGACAGGATACAACTATATTCAGGCTATAATTATGTTTATAACAAACCATGTTGAATTTGGATTTAAGGGGGAATATTTGGGCTGCTGGAACATACGACATGTTATTGTTTCCAAGAACAAAACATGTTATATATATTGATATGCTGCATTCATAACTAACATCAGTGTAATGTTTCCCTCAAGTACTAGGGGATATTATTTTTAGGATAGGGTTTAGAAAGGGATGTTGCCTAAGGTCATCCAGGACATGAAGTGACAATGTACAAACTGAACTTTATCCATGGCAGCTTTTGCTGAAGACTGAGACACTGGGATAGATGGGGAGCAGTGGGAAAGACATAAACCATGACACAGACAGAAACAAAACATTGCCACAGACAGTGCCACGAGGGGAGAACAAAGACCTGAAAATGACAATTTCTGTTATTTACTGACAACAGAAACAAAAGTCGGCCTTTAACCCCATGGATGCCAGTGACCAGTGGGATTCTAGCGAGCTGGCAGTAAAGGTACTAACAAGATTCCTGCAAAGAAGTTAGAGCGACAGTGGGTAGGTAGGAGTATGCTGAGCATTGGCAGATGAGTACACTCAAATAAGTCTATTTAGTTTCACCTTTGTGGATGAGCATATTTATTCTTGTACATCAGTAGTGCACAATACATAATAAATATAGGTGTACAGATTTATATACAAACACATACACATATAGGTGCATGTATACCTTTCTGTATACATATGTTGAAAATTATATGTATGGTATTCATGCACTTATATCAGTATATATCTATATACACAAATGCATCTGAGAGATCATTTGGCAGATGGGCGACTTCTGTAGTGACTAAAATTTGGAATAATGCAATGTTGCATTTTGGCAAAATTCAATGGCTCTGTGAATTGCATATACCAATAAATAACCTTTGACTCTGATTTCAGACCTAGCATATAAAAATATCCAGAACATATCGACTACATTAAGTATCTTCCACATCCACAGGTGTATATAAATATATATCCAAATGTACATATATATATATATATACATATGTATAGCCATATATACAGATCTTATATATGTACATATGTATCTTGTATGTATGCGTATGTGCACAGATGAGGAAATAGGAGACAGCCAGAGTTATTTTGTGTGTGTTAATCTTCAGAATCCTGAATATGAGTCCAGAGGTGAGGAGGAGAGGTTAGGGTGAAGTTTGGTGAAGGAGGGTTAGGCACAGTTAATGTGGAAAGCCATACCGCTTTCTGCTTCTGCAAACAACAAGAAAAAAAATATAGATTTCCAATCAAATAACTTAATAAGAAATTCATGGACACCAAGACATCCCCAGGCCCCCATAAATAATATATAAATTTATGAAAGCAGGTAACTAAAAATAGACACAAATATTATAAACAAAATCTGTGTGCAGAAAATTACTGCTTCATACCTCTCCATTTCATTTCCCTTTATATTTATTCATATATCATTTAGATACAATTATTGTGTTATACACCTCAAACTGGACTTCTGTTTTACTTGTCTACGAGAGCTGAAAACCCTGCTGATGTGTTAAGTAAACACACAGTAACTCTTATATAATTGCTCTAGCAATCATTAGACCCTAGGCAAGTTACTTTTACACATACAATGATCAGTGCATATTGGGAGATTTCCCTTTATACCATAAACCAAGTGGTACCTGCTAATTGATGCATTTAGCAAAGAACAAGGGGGTTGGCCACAATGTTCCAACCAGCCAGATCAAGTTTTTGTCAGGCCGAAGCCAAGTGTTGCAATTTTTCTATTATTTGTGTGTCTTATCTTTGTGGCAGACTATTCTGTATTACCCCCTACCTAGGCAATAATCTGATTCCGTGTATGGCACGAATCACACTTTAATCAAAAAGATCTGCTGCCTAGTGGTTGTCTGCAATGTTTCTACCCATAATAATTATGTCTTATATGCAGCACTGATCATTCGATTTAAAAAACTCACTCTAAGACCAAATGTCTCATTCAACTATAACAATGAGGAAAAAAATAACACCTGTGCTGTACTTTTACTTTCAGGCTGTTGGTGATGCCATTTTAACATCCCACCAGTTAATTTTTTTTGGGGAATTTTGTACAAGAATGAGTACTGGAGAGGTATGTATGCATATGGTTCTTGAAAAAGCAGAAAAACAGCCCAGTGTTTTAGACAAAATAATTAAATAAACAGTAATAAACATAAAAGTGAGGTAGGAAATTAACAAAGGATCAAAACATAAGGGTGGGTGGAAGTTAGTTATAACAAAACAGCAAATCAATTATTAGCAAATCAGAGACTGCCAGCTGATTGGCTTTACGGTTGAATATGGTTAATAGGAAAACAGTGGAGTGAGGTGGTAAGGCAGGATTAGGGTGTGAGGGGCTTAAGATGTACTTGTGGAAGCAATGTCACATGAGTAAAATCATGTAACACTAGGTTAATTTTAGATTTTGCATTGGTACTATGTGAGTGATGTCATCTTTAGGTTGCAAGCACTATCTATTGTTGTTGAATTTGAATTCAGTATGCAGTCACGTATATGCATCTTGTGGTTATGTATGCAATTAAAAAGGACTTGATGACTTTGAGAAAGAGGTGAGGAACATATGAAAGAAAACCTCACTTTTACTTTTGCTCTGGATATACTTCTATAATGATAACCTTCATCAATGGAATTGGACATAGCTTAAGGGACCAAAAATGGCAAAGTAGGTGCTCTTTCCATTATGGGATCTGTGTTTAAAATGGATTTAGACATAGAACCTTCAAATATTGTTTATAGTGAGAAGACAAAACTGTACAGACTCATAAAACTGAAAGAGGAAAAGAATGATACAAAAAATTCTGCCAGGCCTCTCGCATGTTATGACTTACCTGCTTTCCCCTTTTTCAGATTTGTATTCTATGGCTATCATCAGTAACTTCAGCTTCACAAAGCACAACCTGAAATGTCCAAGGAAACAGCAGAATAATGGGAAAAATAAAGACGCTCACATTCAAACCAACCAATTAATGCATTGCTGGTGGCATACTTTCCTCATTCATTCTACAAAGGATATGGAAAGAGTGCAGAGAGACAATGTGCGCACAGATGACTATAAGTGTGCTCATATGATCTCTGATCATATGAGCACACATATGATCATAGATCACTATACAGCTGTATATTAGATCAGTGTTAATTTAGTTACCACACAAAAGGTTGTCACTAATCTGTAAATTTACAGAAATATTTCTCAGTGTCTTAGCACTATGTGTGCAATACATCTGTGTACTAGCTCCATCATTTCCAAGCATCTTCCCATTAAGTTTTATGGTACCTTAAATACGGCCAGTCACACACTACATGTGCCTTCCTCTGTGCACCTAAGAAAAATTTACTTACTCACACACCGCAGGGAAGGAGAGCCCCACAAATGCAGTGGATAGGTATTCTGTATACATCTCATTAGACACACCTTCCAAGTAATATTTTTGCCATGTATCTTCTTCGATCTGCCAGGAGCAACACAGGTTAGCTAAACATTTAAAGATAAGTCATTCTGCGAAAACACATTCTTTAATATATAAAGAAGAAGCTATGCCAAATACTAAATTTTTGGGCCCATCTGCTTTTCATAAGGTTGTTTTTAGCAGAAATATCCACAATGCAATGTCTGTCTATAAGAAGTCAGCCATTAATATTTAAATAGACTTATCTAGAATGGGGGACACAGAAAGTCTTTAATCTTTGGGTCTTACTGCTGCCTGCAGGAGGAGTGGAAATTGGCAAACAAATAACTGTAGGCCAGCCCAGGATAACCCCTCTCACTACCAGAATTCCTCAGCTTTGTAGCAAAACAGTACAGAGAGCATGATTCTAAACACAGTGGTGGGCCTCAAGACCACCTTGTCCCTATGCAGGCTGAACAAGTATATGGCCACCAGTTAAGACACTTGTCTTGCAGAGGTGATGGCTGCAATAAACACCGCTTTATGATTGAGAAAAGAGAGGGGAATGTTGCTAATGGGTTCAAATGTCAGTTTATGAAGTGCAGAGAGAACCACATTCAGATCCCAGGAAGTCACAGGGGAACAAACAGAGGAAGCTACATGGGAGACCACCTGTATAAAGATCTGAATCAAAACGTGTGTGGCCAATGGTTTCTGAAACAGAAGAGAAAGGGCAGAAACCTGACCCTTAAAAGTGCTAAGAGCCAGACGCTGGTCCAGACATAGCTGCAGGAAGCAGAGAATTTGCCAAACTCCTTGCATGGAAGCCCTGTGACTCATAGAAAATGAATTATGCTTTCCGTGTCTAATGATATACCTTGAGAGAAGTAGACTTCCTAGCTTTAAGCAATCATGCTTTCCGTGTCTAATGATATACCTTGACAGAAGTAGACTTCCTAGCTTTAAGCAATCATGCTTTCCGTGTCTAATGATATACCTTGAGAGAAGTAGACTTCCTAGCTTGAAGCAAAATCTGGTAGAGCTCACAGAGCATCTGCAAGGAGTCTTACTCAGTTGGTGTACCACATTTACCTGGCCAGTTTGAAGCAATGAGAATCACCAAAATTCCTTGCATCTCAATCCTGAAAAGTAAACAAGGAAGACGTTTCAGCAGAGGAAAGGCATAGATCAGATTGTCCTGATCCCACAGAGCCACAAGAGCATCCACAGAGTCTGCTAAAGGATCGCTGTACCTTAAAACAAACCTGTCCAATTTATTGAAGCCGGAGGCCAGCAGGTCCACTTCAGGTGTCCCCATTCTGCAACACAGGTCATGGAACACATCATGGTGTAAGGACCACTAACCTGCTGGCACTGCTGGCTGAGAAAATCTGCCTGCCAATTGTCTATGCCTGGAATATACATGGCTGACAAGGTTTGAACGGGAAGTTCTGCCAAGGACAGGATTTGATCTACCTCTCAGTGATAGATGACCCTTAATGAAAGAACATTGCATGGCAAATGCCTGGAGAGAAACTGGGCAAATGGGACTGCCTGGAAAGAGGCTACCATCTCTCATGCAGAAGGTTTGAAGGCTCCTAAACTGGAAAATATCAATATGAAACTGGAGTGTTTGAAGTCTCTTCTGTGGAAGGAACACACAGGCTTGAGCAGTATCCAGGACTAGACCCAGATACTCCAAGCAATGAGTTTGTTTCAGTGATGGTTTCTGATCATTCAGGATCCATCTCAATCATTGTAACACCTAGACAGACAATCACGTTTTCCGACAGAACTCGCACTGCCTGTTCCATCAACAGGAGGTTATCGAACTAGTAGTGTAGGGGACCCACAACACAGCATAAAAATAGGTGAGCATCTAGAGCTGCAACAGTTAATCGATTTAGTCGATTAAAATCGACGATTGAAAACGTTACCAACGTTTTCGATCGTCGATTCGTCGGCTATCGATTGATTTAAGCATCTATAATATCCGTGGAAGACAGAAAGTGTGCCTAGTGAAGGGAGGCGATGACAGATTCAATAGATTCCATGCAGAATATTTTGATGTGAATGAAGACATTCAGAGTTTTGAGATCAGACCCATTTGGGCCTGGGAACAATAAAAAGTTTGTAGTAAAACCCCTTTAACTGTTCTGCCACAGGAACTGGGGCAATGAAACCCTGATCCAGAAGAACGAATGAAGATCTGTTAATGTGTGCAGTCACACGGGGAGGTTGAAGGTTAGAAATTAAGAAGAGGGCAGGGAGAGAAACTCCAGTGTTTAGCCCTGGAATACCACCTCCTGCACCCAAGCACCTAAGATGCAAGCTGTGCAAGCATCCGCAACAAAGGAAGGTCATAGCTAGGATCAGATGAAGGGCAGGAGGAGCCGTCAGCAAGAGCTCTAGAAAATGCTTCCAACCACCTATCGGTTAGGTCCTCGAAGATTGGTGCATCCTCTGCTGGACTAGTAAGGGCACTGTTAAGGGGGGACACTGCCAGATTCACAGTGGAAATAGACCACTTCAGCACAAAATCCTCACCATATGGATACAAGTATAATATGTGTTTAGTAGGAACAAACAGGTTATGGGGAGGTTTCCAACCTTAATTGAGAAATAGTTGGAAAAGTGGGTGCAAAATGAAAGCCCTGTTAGAAGCAACAGGCTGATCCTCTAGTTTCAGAGTGGTGTCCACTGAACCAATAAGAGCTGAAACTGTATCCTTTAAGTGCATTTGTGGCCTCTGCGGTCACAGTCAGCAAGTAACTGAGTGATCTGGGTCATGAATTATTGTATTATTCCAATGGTAAAAACATCAGCTGGGAATAGCCCAGCCTCACCCAAATGAGCAAAAGAATATTCCAAACAGACTCTAGGAGCAGAGGATAACATGATTCCAGGCTGCAGACATTGGCACAGTCAACAGATTAGCTGCAAGCAGCCTCCGATTGTTAATAGAATCGTCCCCCTACACATAGAATCAGACCTGTTGTGACCACGTGGTGGTCTCAGGGTTAGAGGCAAGGCCTAAGGGACTAAAGAAACTGGAACAGCTGGTAGCAAGTGAGGGTCAGACGGCCAAAGGTGACCAAGGTCCCTGTAGGCAAGTGTCAGGAACTCATAAAAAGATCAGGGTTCCATGTGGCTGTTTGCAAGTAGGAACAGCAGTGGGGAGATGTTTCCTCGAACTGCTCATGCACAACACCCAACCCAGCAGACAATGTTTTCAGTTAACACCTTCCATAGCAAAACTGATGGGAACTGGGAATAAAGGTTCCTAACTACTGATGTGAGTGAGGAATGCTTGACAAGACTGGCATTGTCACTAAGTGAGTCTTCAGAGACAGGGCAATGGCTAAGGGAATACAAGCCGCTCTGGGACCCTGGGCGATCTACACTTTACTTTTACTAGAACAGAGTCTGGAAAGTGCCCTATGTGGAACCCAGTGCTTGATGGTCACTTCCAGGCTATACACACAACATCCAGTCCAGCAGGGTTCTGAAGCAGTACTTCTAAAGCCAGGCTAAAGAGACAAAGCTCCAGCAGTGATGTAGAGAAAAGTTTTAAAGGAGAACTATGAGGTGGAATGGCGTTTACAGTTCTACTATAAGCTTATAGTAGAACTGTTCAGCA